CAGCCGCCGAGCTCCGGCACGGCGGGAGTGAGCAGGCAGAGCGGGGGCAGGGGCCAAAGGAGGGGGCTTGGGCCGACCCAGGGCGAGGAAAGGTCTCTGGGGTCAGGGCTGGGCTGCGCGAGCGGGAGCCATGCAGGCGGCTGTGTAAATACAGACAGTTTCGGGTAAACAGAGCCAGTTTCGGGTTGCCAGGAGAGCTCTTCGCATGAGCGAGGCACAGAGGAAGCTGTCCCCATGGGCCCCCCTCTCCTCCCTGCTCGGCTGGGGCCTGCAGCCCCCAGCCCTCCCACCCGGCTCCATGGCAGCGGCCGGGCAGGGGCGTCCTCTCCTCCTGTTACGCGTGGGCTGTACGAGTTACATTTGTCAATAAAAGTGTCCTGTTTTCATAGCCAGCGCTGTGGCGTATCCTTGGGGCTGCGCAGGGTGGGGACATGGGGAGACACGAGGGGCAGGATCCATGTGGGGATGGCCTCAATGCGGACAACAAGGACCCGACGGGGTGCCAAGGAGCCCAGTTGGCAATGGAAACGCCAACCTGCCCCACAGTGGAGCCTCCATGGGAACCCACCGCTGCCAGCACATCCCGGGAGAGACCCTCCGTCCCATGCGAGCCGGGCAGGAGCTCAGAGCCACCCTTCACTTCACAGACCCACGGGAAGCGCTCGGTGCTGGCCGGCGGTGACGCACCCCGAGGAGCTGCGCACGGGACACGCTCCCCTCTCTGCCTGCTGATGCCGCAGACCGTGGCCAGCTCATGGGCTGGGTGACAGCGGCCCCTGGCACCAGGTTGGAGCACAGGGGTCTCCACGGCCCTTCTGGCTGCAGCCCCAGCCCTTCCTCACCCTCTCTTTTCCCCATCAGCTTCCTCCCACCTCATGGGCCCACCACTCTGCCCTTCCCCGGGGTCTCGCTGCTGAGCGGAAGGGGAAAACTGCTCTCCGCACTCCCCATTTGGGGTGATCTGCCAACTTTCCACCAGTGACTTCTGCCTGCGAGGTGACAGGTTAAGAGACAGCAGAGAAGCAGGTGA